TGTTATTACGGTAGGGGGAGGAACACGTGTGTGTTGGGTTTTTGGCAGAATTTTGAATGGGGCACCCGTAGGTTTCTGCCATGCCCCGGAGTGGGGGATGGCGGCACTTGTTCTCCGGACACCGTGACTTGCCCGGAGAAAAATACCGCACAGTGGTCGAGAGGATCGAACCCGCGACCGCCAGCGCCGCAGACGACGTGTCCGACCGCTCGGCCACCTCGTCCCCCGTTATTGTCTTTATAAGTTTGATAAAAGGTAAATTTACCTTAAAATTTAAAATAACACAACTTTATTGCAAATGTAGAACGTAAATTGAGTACCTATTATAGTATTATGTACTTACCTGATGTATTCGAACTGTAGGAAGACAAAGATAACGGCTCTCTAAAAGTATAATTTGTCTTAAGATACATTCTTCTATAAGGATACAAAACTTTTTTATAATCCAGGTTATTAACATTAAAAATTGTTCTAGGCGATCAGTATGCAAAAGTAACTACACACAATATTTATAATTATAAGTTTTAGGAAATCTTTTAAAAATAGCATTTCAAATTTCCATTCTAAACAAAATGCAATCGCGCTTTATTCGCATATCAATGATGGCGCCTAGACCTCGACAATAGGTACCTATGTATTGAAATCTATGAAACCGGCGTTTAAAATCATAATACTTATATATTATAGTGGCACACTTCCTCCCACCACAAGGTTTTTGTCGCCGAATTCATTGTTTTTATTCGATCATTGTGTGTTTGTGGCCATTGTTCTCCAATTTTGGTACTCGACAAAAATCATCATCCCGATTGTGTTTTATACGTTTTCAATATTTCATTCATCATATCATTTGCGAGACTCGTGTATTGCAGGAAGTGTTCAGAATGCTAATAGTATATAATATTATAAGATGTCGCGCCATTGATCGTTGACCCGTAACCGAATCCGCCTAATGACACATACAACACTGGCACATTATAATAAATAATAATATTATACATTTATACGACATATTATGTGCTGCACTCTTATTAATTCGCCTTTTTGGTCTCTCGTCGTATAACTGCGGTTATATTAAGTCTGAGTGGTTTGACGTGTGTACCTATGTGGTGTTTGCATGAGTTCCTTTTTACATAATATCTTATCATCGCGTGCATTCTTTCTGCACGGTTTGAACGATGTAGTGTTTCGACAAGACGTATTATATATTATTCTTATGTACGAAAAATAAAAACGACATATTATTATAATATAAGGTTTGCATAACATTAAAATAATATATTATAATGTGCATTATCATACTATATAATAATATGATTATTACGATTGTCGATTGGTATATATAATATAATATATAATAAAATTATTATTGTATTTACTGCGTTCGTCTGCGGGATCGTGTACGGGCGATCGCCGCCGCCGTCTTGCTGGAGTAGTTGCAGGCAGGCGCCCATCGGCGACGACGAGGTACCTTGTTCGTTAGGACTTAGGGGACAGATCGGTGGACCGTGAGCCGTCGTGTCCGTGCGCATTAATAAACATAAACGCCCACACCCGATGTTCACATTGTTTATATTATTATATATATATTTATGTACACGTGCGTATATATGCGTTATATATGTGTGTATATATGTCCTCGTGTGCTCAGAGGACTCGTGTAAAAGCGTATACCTATTCGGTTGATTAGAACTAATCAATATTGTCTAGTTGTGCGTATGTGTTATTATTATTATGTTAAAGTTTTAACGTGGAGGAAGAGAAAAAAATTAAAAGTCTTATTATTTTATATTTTATTCCCAGTATATTTATTGAAATAAAACCACCCATCTGAATGTAAAAAGTAAATTTATCGTTTACGCGCACTTACCGTGAGCGCTTGGTCAATAGTTTAATTGGTTTTTGAATGATTTCAATTAGGCGCAAAGACGTAAGACGATGACTATATTATACAACGCAACGGTGTACATAGGTATAGATAATAGAACATTAACGAGAAAAGAGGTGTTGATGTTTGTTTTCCCTTTTGTTTTTAAATCGTATACAGTACTATTATAATACACCTTATAGACAACCGTCGTATACACTATACTCGGTCTTAAAAGTGTATATATTCTGTTATATAAATAACAAAAAAAAACAATACATCTATTTAGAAATATTTTTGTGATTATTAACTAACACATATTTAAAAATTATTATGTATATAAATAAATATGAATAACAAATAACAAACATATTAGGTATTCTCATATTTTACAAGTTTAATGTTTATAAATTATGATATATAGGTAAATTATATTTTTTTTTTATAAATTAGTTATCTAAATACTTTTATCAATATTTTAGATTCTGAGTGAAACGATGAATGTATTGATGTGATGTAATGATGTGTGTTTTTTTTTTTTTGTGACTGTCATCACCTTTTAGGACAGTAAAAGTGCTTGGACTTTCTTCAACAGTAACTTTTCTGATAGGAAAGTGAATCTAGTTGGTACTTTGGGGGAGTCAAAAGTAAAAATTTCACAGTAGTTTTCAAAAGCGACGTGAAAAACAAAAGAAAAATTAAGGAAAAACGGGAATTTTTACGCAAAATCTGTTTTCGAGATTTTGGTTTTTGGTGCAACTCTAAAACAAATTACCGTAAGAACATGAAATGTTTACTGACTGTTTATATTAGCATTTTCTATACACCAAAAAAATTTGAAAATATTGTGACTCTTTTTGAGCTGTTTACGGACATTGTCAGATTTAAATTTTCTTAGTTTTTTTTCTATAAATATCAATACAATATTATTTGTTGGGTACAAAAGCTTAAAAATGTAATAATAGGGTCCTACTATATTGTTACAATAGTAGTTCAAAAAGATTAAAAATCCTTAGTCACAGTTTTTTTTATAAGCTTTTAAAGTTCAAATCTTGACAAAATACTGAAAAATCATGAAAATTAGCAAAATTATTTTGAGTTGAGAATTCATAAAAATGTTTCTTTTTAAATCTAAGATTTCAAAATGTAATACAAGATTACTCATAAGTTTATCTACCTTTATCAAAAAAAAAAAAAATGTCTACAAGCAAATCAAATTAAATTTTTATGAGCCTTTGAAGTTCATATTTTTACAAAATTGGATATTCACTCGATTTTTCATGTAGCGGTTTTGTTATTTTATTGTTATTCAAAAACGAAAAACTGTAGATACATGAAAATTTTACTGAATGTTTATATTTTCATTTTCTATACAAAAAAAAAAAATTTGAAAATATTTTGACTCATTTTGAGTTGTTTGCGGACATTGTCAGTTTTCAATTTTCTTAGTTTTTTTTTCTATAAATATCAATAAAATTTTATTTGTTGGGTAAAAAAGCGTAAAAATTGAATGCAAGGCTCCTGATATATTGTAACAATAGCAGTTGAAAAATATTAAAAATACATAGGCACAATTTTTTTATAAGCATTTAAAGGTCGAATTTTGATAACATTCATCATATTTAAAATTTAATAATTATTTTGTAGTTAACAATTTATAAAATGTTCAACTTTTATAGCTAAGGATTGTAAATTTAAAACAAGGGTCCACGTAAATAGGTAAATATATAAATTACTTTATTCACAATAATATCATCAAATATATTTAGTAATATCTAGGCTGACTGACCGTTTTCGCTCAGAATCGTTTTTTTTATACAATGATATAAGGTATATCATTGTATTCAAATTTAAAACCATCCATTATACATTACAGTGGCCCACTTGTAACCTACTATTTTTATTTATTTAATCTTGTAAGATTATTTGTTTTTAACTTCATGGTTAATAAAATAACATTGTTTATATTTAATATACATTTATTCAAGGCCGGATTAGGCTGGGCAAGTTAATGATTTTTTTTAACTCAGTTACGTTAATATGCACCAATGACAAAAAGTTAAAAGTTAAAAGTTAATTTAACTTATAGGTTAACTCAGTTAAGTTAAAAGTTAGTACACACTTTTTGTTAACTTTTTATGAAGTTAATAAAAAGTTGATTTGTTTATACAACGCTAGAGCACTTAATTTTTTTCCAACCCAAAACTTAATATTATAGGCGTTTATACGTTTAAAGTTAGTTTAATAGTTAGTACAGTATTTCCATATAAGTTAAATTCAAATGATATAAATATTTAACTTTAAACAATTCACTGTAAATATTTTTTGACATGAAAACAAAATAGACTAAAATAGTGAAAATATAATAAAATTTAATACAAAATAAATTAACTTAACTTACTTCTTAAAATGAAAAATGAATTCGTTAATTTCACTTTAGTTAAAACAAAAACTTAGAAAGTTAACAGTTAAGTTAATAAAAAGCCAAAAGTAACTAGTAAGTTAAAAAGTTTAAATTAAATTAACTTTTTAACTTAAATTTAACTTTTTAACTCTTTAATGCCCAACCATTGCATTTATTTAATTGGTTTCAAAAATGTTTTAATGTAATTAGTATAAATATAAATAATACAATTTTTTCGCATTTAAAAAAGAATAAGTAATTTGGTATTAACATATCATGTAAATTATTACGAACCTAACAATGAATATAATAGTATATAACTATAAATTAATGTTACAAAATTACATAATCAAATTCACTAAGTAATAAGTTCCTTTGATTTTAGATCTGTACAGGTCTACGTAAGCCAGAAATATTTTTAAAAATTATTTTACTAACTATTAACTATAAACTTAACTACTATTAGAAATTTGATCATGATTCTTTTAAATAAAAATAATAATAATTATACTGTCGGCAAGTTATTTTTTCGAAGCAAGTTTCACACTTTTAGTCATTAGTTAAAAAAATTTATTCGATAACCATGTATCCATTTAATTGTAGGTACACCATATTATGTAAATACATATCTGAAAATCTCTCCTAACTGTAACCTGCTGCCAAAGATTACTTTAAATACAATTTAAAAAACATTTTGTATTATCAATTTTCAAAATAAAATCTGTTTTATAGATTTTTGGTAATGACAATGTCACTGGTTTTAATATGAATTCTACATGGAAAACAAATGATACGAAAGATTGGGGAGAATGGTCTCCGTGGTCACCTTGGACTCCTTGTTCTACATCATGTGGCCTAGGCGTCACCAAACAAACGAGGCAATGCATTCGAAAATCAACTGATGTACAAAGGTAATATTGAAAAAATTCCACATAATATACCAATATATACCTATTGCAGTACCTAATAATATAGTAGTAGTTGTTTTAATTATTTTAATTACATAGAATACACGTAATTTAAGAGTAATATTGTAGGTAATGAAATGTATACTATAAAATATAAATATATAATATTATATAGTATACTTAATTATTGTTTATAATACTGCAGTAATATTATTGATGTGGGTTGAATATTATGATAATTTCAATGAAAGCATCATATTAAAGCTAACTGATAAAACGCAGGATATTTAAACATTTTTGTAATTATCCTTAAATTAGAAACGACTAGATTTATTTTATCACCCATTATAATACATGGATGGATAAATAAAAGTTGATGGATACAAATAGTGGTCATTTCGTGTCAGTGGACTTAAGTATATACATATAATATATAATATTATCTCTATACACGTATATATATATAATACGATTGTTAGCATAATATTTTATCGGAATTTTAAAGGTGTTTTTATATGTTTACACAATTACACGACGTACAGATAAGTACATAGGTCATTGAATGTCGTCTATACTAATTTTACTTTATGTTTACATTTTTCCGGCACTTTATATGGCATTTAGATTGTAATAACATGGCGATCCACCTCCTTAATTGATCGTTTAGGTGCCGGTTCGAATATAATAAACCATTGCCTGGAACCTAACATTACTGTCATTAATACGCGTGTATATCAAGTCACGTGATACACCCTATTTATGCCTATATGCCGGGTAATACTTATAAAGCCCGCCTTATTGTTTTTTCCCTTCGTTCTATTTTCGTAGTGTAAAACCATATACGATTTTACGTTTTAATACGGGGGCCACTTAAAAAAGTGATTCCACATCCGACCGGTCGGCGTTATCCGAGTATTGACCTTCCAGAGTAGCTCAGTGATATTGTTATTAAAAAGAAAAAATACACTCCCCACAAAATTTCAAATTAGTTTTATAGTGTATATGCGAATGTAGCATATAATATAATAATGACTGGGGAAAAAACTATATAACTTTTTCAAACATTTCATACGAAAAACACAACAACTATATACAAGTTTAAGAAGTCCTTTTTTAATTCATGTATCCACCCCAAGTCAATCCGTTAATGCATTTTGTTATAATATATTTTATGAACCAAAGGGATCTTGTCTGTCAGGCGCCAATGCCATGCCATGAGATATTATACATTTTTTTATTTAAATCGAATACGTCCGATCTCGATTGAATATAATAATTTTTTTGTATTTTGTCGATATGTTCTATACAGGCGCAGTTTAGGAAATGTTCTGGAGTGGATGGTACTTAGCATAATAGCATATATTATAGTTAGCAAAAGCACTTACAAATATTTTTCTGCAAATGTAGTATGAAGAAGTCTTACATTTAATACCTTTAAAAAATCGATTCAAAAATATTAGCTCTTTGTTCAATTTCTTCAATAATTTTTCTAAAGTCTAAATGTCAAGAAATCTAATGATAAAATGTAATTCAAATCGTCAGATTTATTATTATATTTTTAACCAAAGGTATAATTTTTTAGTTACTTGTTAAATATCATAATCTATACATTATTTATTTTATATTTTGTACTTCGAATATTTTTAGTAGATATTCATTTGTGCGCGTGCAGTGTTTGCACACATATTTGTATATATTGTTTTTGGTTTTCTTTCATTTTAAGTTGAAGTTTGTAGATAAAATGTTAATGTAAATTAAACTTGGTGTTTGAGGTATAACTAAACAATATTCGTAATACTATCTATTCAATTGAATTCATGGAAAATTTAATATATATTTATAAATATAAAATTATTTTTATATTTTTGAGCTACAGAGTTTTAACGTTCAGTTTGAAACATTTTTTAGTAACAATATTTATTCCATTTACAACTTTATTTAGCTTATAAGTTTTGAAACAAACAGCTCTATAATATTATTCATGCTATATATTTTAATGTATTGTTATTTTTTTGTTCAACTCATATAGGAATGTTTTTTACAAGAGACAACGTTTGAAACGAGTGTCTGACGCGGACAACAAATGCAGAGGGCAAACAGAGGAAACTAGATACCACGTGTGTAATAAACAGGTGAGCCGAAAGCGGTCAATCATATATAATAATATTTATATCCAAGTCCTTATCTATCTTATTAAATTAATAACTGGGTGCTTCGTGATGCGACGGCGGTCTTGTATACACGGAGTTACGACTCCTACGAGTTGATTGTAATTATCGGAGAGGCGAAAAAAATGCGAGTATAATATATTTACAAATAATTATATGGTAACAATGCAATGTGGTTGTTGACTTTCAATAAGTACCTCGATAACCTTTACAATCACCACCGGCTTGTTACCGTATCGTCCGTATCAATAAAGTATATTTTGTCTCGTATATAATAAACACGTTCGGCGCATCCACGAGGGCAACACAATAAATCAAAGTATTTTCGTGTGTTTATATTGACCCGAGGTGAAACAGTAGGAGGGCTTTAATCACTGGAAAAAAAAATATGAGCTTAGGATATTGGTCAGAATGACTGGACATTGTTGATGCTCTGTTCGTGTACACACAACACGGTGGATGCAGTCGGGGTGCCAAAACTGCATCTTCTGAATCGTTGACACCAACGTTGATGTAACGCAGAGATAATAATAGTTCAGCTGTTTCTACTAATAATTCCATTTATCATTATCCGATTTAAAACAATTGTATTGTTTTTTATTTCAATTTATTGATTTCTAACCGTTCATAGTATACATTAGTACCTATACACAATAATATACATATAATTATAAGATATTTAGATAGTATATAATATATTAGATATTTATATATTATAATAATATATGTTATCTAAATATAATAAACATATCATGAATTTATGACTAGTTCAATAATTTGTACATTGTACATGAAATATTTTCATTGAAATAAAAATCATGAAATTACACTTTTTCATAAATAAGTTAAATAAAATACTATGTGAAAAAAAAAATAAAAGGTCAGTTAAGAATCTGACCCTTTCTCAACTACTATTGAAATGAAACAAAAAAAAAAGCACCTAATTTATAGCTAAAGAAAACACGAAGGGTTTTAAAACACTACTTGACATTTAGACTTGGAAGGTACCACGTATTGTATACCTACGTAAGTATATTCATGAGTCTACACGTAGTCTATAATATTAGAGACTATTAGACTATCATCTTTTCCATACGTGTGGTTTAAATTTGTCTTATAATATTATTTTATTTAGATATAAATTAATGTAATATAAAAACTTATTAGTTGTGGCACACGCACTATATATTATACAGGTAAGAATATATACATACTATTATTTGAATAGGTACCAATGCAAATATAAGGCATGGTTGATTTTTTTGTTAAATAATGATATAGGTATTTAAGTAGGACTTGCGTTAAAAAATTAGTTATTATTATACTATTCACTATTATACTATTTACTTTACCATTTTAAAATTAGTATAAACACGAATGACCATATAGGTAGATATAATCTTGGGAGTTACCGTAGATTGGGTTTCGTGACAGTATAACACTAATAAATATATGGTTCTTTTTTTCTCTCGTAACCATAGTTACTTACTTACAGATTGTTTTAGGTGCACCCGATGGACATATTTTAAACGCATCACGGACTTTCTTAAAAAAAAAAAAAAAAAACGCATTAACATTATCTTTAACACATACCGCGGTACTGGTGCGGTAACCCAGCCACATGCAGTATATGTACATTTCCAGCACTGTTCATCATTTAATAATGCTTTATATCAATGTCAAGTTCGGTCCTGTTGACGGCATTTTATAAGTCGTACGCGTTGTGTGACCCTCTCTGCTCGGCGTTTGACACACGCCAATCTTTATCACGTCCAATAGTATAGGAAATTCAATAATACGTATATTAATAAAAAGCCGTCTTGTGTGAAATTGAAAAATTCAAACACAAGAGGCTTATATGCCGACAAAAACTATGTACGCCCGACAATCATATAATATGGGGGACTGTAAACTCGACCGTATATACACTGGCGGCAGATATAGATGATGATAATAATTATAATAAAAATAATAATAATACAATATATTATATTATATAATAATGCACAGTTGGTTTCAACACGTGTGATCAAACTTTTAAGTGAACGCGGTAAACCATAATAATATATACTATTGTACGTACGTAAATAATTTTAAATTGTACAAACACAATGTGCGTATTAGCTCTGGAGAACGTGTGCGAGCGGAGGTACACACACGAAAAAATTGCGATCCCGTGCGGTAAAGATAGGTAAGTATACTCGTGTTGGCGGCGAAGATAAACGGATGATCGTATTTGAAAAAAAAACCACTCACGAGCAGACAGACACGCGTGTTTAACTGGGTTGTCATTTCACAACGGGCATTTATAGAAGAACGTAGATACTTATGGAATGTATAATATAATGTGCATGCTAGCGGGATACAATGCGGTTGACAATTAGGTTGTTTTCAATGCAATCCATTGAATATAATATTTCAGCTTGCCTGGAAACATTTCGTCTCATCCGACTATTTTTCATTTTCTCCCCACAAAATCACGTATATAGTTACCTATTATACAGCTGCCGTCTGCTCGTAGAACAACATATAATATTGTTATTACGGCTCATAGCACTGCATGCCACTATTGGTATTAAATTTGTAACTCGCAGATAAAATGCATTTATGAAGGTCGCGTAAAAATAAGAGCCGGTGGGTTTATCTAAATGTACACGTCATATAGAGTACCTACACTAAAAACGGCTCACGACCGTTGTGACTCGTGGTGGATCAGTTACGACGATTCATTGGCTGGATATAAAATGTATTATTATAGTATTATACTGATGTTGGATTCGATATTAGATATAGGACATTATAGGTAACTCTTTTTAAATAAGAAATACGAATAATATTATAGTTAGTCTATATTTTTGAATATTCGTATTGTATTCAACTATTTAATTGTCAGAAATCCCGTGCTAACATATATAACCATTTTATTTCAGTCATGCTTAAATAATACCGATTTTCGGGAAACTCAATGTTCGTCGTTCAACGAAAAGCTATTCAACGGTCAAAAATACACATGGTCAGCATATTATCAAGGTTAGTATTTAAGATATTTTTTATATTGTTTTTATCATGATTAGATCCCATCATATTTAACAATAAATTCTATGTTTAAAATCAACTATAAATTAATTATGACGTATCAAAACAAAAATAAAATATCAGTTTTTAATAATAATAATTATTATGATCCTAAAATGAGTTATTTGGTTAATAGACAATAAATATAAGGTATACGATGTGAAAACAACAAAAACTAATAGTAATATCAAAAAAAAAAATCAAGACTGACCTTTGACGCTTCTATAATAATAATATTATATTCTACTTTTTTATAGATTACATAATTATTTGCAAATTAAATTTGTTAGGTTCCTATTTAGTGTTGTTGAAATTGATTTTATGGTTTTATAAATATTAAATAACAAAATCTCTTACAACTCTTTTGATCTATTTATTTATATACAAAGGTAGGTTAATTATAAAAATATAATATTATTTAATGAAAATCGCAATACTTTATAGTTATATAGGTACTTATATATATTATATTGGATATTAATGTTTTAGCTACAAATCAATGTGCATTGAATTGTCGAGCAATAGGATATCGTTTCTATGCCACCCTAAAACCGAAGGTAACAGATGGCACATCTTGCAATGGAACAGACTATTCAAGACCTTTCATATGTGTGGAAGGACAGTGTAAGGTGAGTGAATACTGATTTATTTATTAGATAATATTGAGGTAAGAAAAACCCAATAACAAGAGAGATAAAATATGTTTACATTAATAGCAGTGACATTCTCTTTTATAAAGTAAGATAAAAGTAAGACGGTGACAATAAAAATAAGGAAGAATGGCCGGATATGTCAGTTTATTACAAAGAAAAAGAAGTGTCCTAATTGGAAAATCTTAATAAATGGATAATGGGAGTATTAGAAAGATTGTTAGAAGTGGATATACAATATAGGAATACGAAAATAGCAATGTTTCTATCATAGAGGCAATATCGTTTGGGATTTGAGGGGGGGGGAGGCTAAAGCCTTACTTTGATAAAATATAATATTAAATAAGCTTAAAAAAAATATGTATAAAATGTTTGAGGGGCTATGAACATTTGGGGGATTAGCCCCTTAGGCCACCCCCCTATTTACGCCTATGGTTTCTAATAAAACGTATTGGAACTATAGGATGTATAATTTTGCTAGCGAATAAAGAACGAATCAAAGGAGTTGGAAATGAGCTTGGGGAGAAATAATAGACTGCATTTGGTTGCGAGAAGTACATATTGTGTAATTTTTTTTATTAATTATAATTGGTAATGAATTTACCAATAATATACTATTAATTATACAAATTGCATATATCACCAATATTGAATATTTTAGGTTGGAGTTTGGCTTTTGAGTATAAAGTTAAGTCATAATTTTAATTGTTTTTGAGGTATGATATTAATTTTATTTATAAAATACATCAAATACTTCAATTACTTCAATTAGGAATACATATCTAATTTGTTATTTTAGCTGTAAGTATAGTTATTATGAGTCAATCAGTATAAAGATAATTTAGGTTTAAACTATAAAGTAATTACCAATCTGTTGGATACCACAAAGGTACCCAACTATGAATCCCGGAATAAAAATCCCCCGGAAAAAAAATCCCCGGAAAAAAAAACCCCCGACGAACAACCCCGGAAAAAAAATCCCCGACTCTAGGAAAAAAAATCCCCAGACTACAATATTACTCACAACCTCATGCAAATGGTTGAACAAATATTTTTTAAACGTTAATTATAGTATCTATAATTACGTGTTCTTCTTTTGGCAATTCTAATAATATTGCATGTGGTACATTACTCACAGACTCAGCAAATATTTGACTCGGTGTTGCATGTGATATTTGTGCTTTTTTCTTCGTTGTATTTTGTAATTTTAAAGCAGCGACTGCATTTTTATTAGAATCATGTACATGGTCATGATCAAGACCAACAAATATTGGATTTTAAATATTTAAACTAGTCTTAAGTACACTCGGACATTTTAAAGAGCTAAATTTAGAACATCGCCAACGTAAAAAATTTGAACACTCTTTTTGAAAATGATAAATAAAGCCGATGTGCGTAATTTTAGGTTTTTTACCATTAATTTTTTAAAATTTCCAGCGTTTCCATAGCGTAGTCGTTTTGTACTTGTGTATCGTGTAATACTAAATTTGTAGCTAAGATAACGAGTATCCAAATTATGTTCGTGAGCCCATTACAGATTAGATAGGTAGGTGTAACCTTTTACCTTCTATTATATATTATCAAAGGTATATACTAAACCGCTTATCGTCAAAATGTCACAGAAAACGCAATATTTTATTTCGGGGATTCAATATTTACAGAATTATACCAACATAAAATATATAGGTACCTATATTTTGTATAATATTTTTGTATACTATGTTTTACTAAGTTAAACTGTAGTATATACGTATCGCATCTTAATTTTTTATATTTTTTAACATATATTAGTAATTATATAATAGAATATAATATACGTATTTGTCATTAAATATTAATTAATAGATACTAATTACGTTCACAATATCTTTGTTCAACCATGAATGGATTGTGAGGAATTGTAGCTGGGATTTTTTTCCTCAGGGTCGGGATTTTTTTCCGGGTTTTCGTCGGGGTTTTTTCCGGGGATTTTTTTCCGGGGGATTTCCGATTACCCAACTATAGCTGGTATAGTATATAATATATTTTTTTATCAAGCCTTCATAAAATTAACTAACTCCCTCGAGAATGCTTTTTTCAGTGATTAGTGAAAACTTGTAATTTTTTTGTTTACTATTAATCAACTGGAATATTATAATATTACTCGTGATTCGTGGAGCGTACATATTAAGCTATAGTCGGTATTTTCCGAATCGTTTGTAGACTATATTTAACGGATTGTACACACATTAATGCGTGTATAGTGCGTACCATCTTGAGTGGCGTTGTTTTGGATATTATTATGTTATTATACGTAAGGAAAATAAGGTGTCTAGTATATATTTTCCCTCCGGGATACGAAACACCTTTTCACCCCAGAGAACGTGCTGGGAATCATTTAATTTATAGACGATGACTGAGCAACTAATTACCCTGGTACCGCCTACAAATCATCAGATTAGTTCTGATTATGTCTCAGTCGTGGGCCACAAAAGCTTTTGCGCATGACTGAGTTATTTTCATACTGTTTATTAGTCATTTCTAATATTGTAAAATGTAAATGTTTTTTATTATATAATATTCCGAAGAAATCAGAATACATGGTAGGTATTGGTTTCTTGTAGACATATTTTTATACAATTCCACAGGATTTTTTGTTATTATAACATTTAAAATCTATCAACTATTATTTGTGAATAATTGGATTCGTTATATAATAATTACGTATAATATCTACTATGAAATCTAAGAAAACTTGTATTAAAAAACGGTTCAATTATTTAATGTTTATAGTTTATGTATAGCTTTTAATAAGCTGTATGTTGCAAGTACCTCAATCAAATTATTTAATATTCTGTAAATATGTATTTAAAGTATTCATATGCGTGGCTCTACTGACTGACTTGAGTGGTTTACAGAATAAAAGCATATTATAGCTATAAAAATATTAATAATTTTGGAAGATATTTTTTTACGGCTTATTATAGATCTTAATAAATTATTAAGCCATAAACTTGATCATACTTGAGTTTTAGTTTAGTAAACCAGTTGAACAAATACTTATATTATTATATTTAAAAAAATATTATGAGGTCATTGAAAACTTGTAAAAGAAACTGGATTAGTTTTCATCATTTATGGGTTTTATGATAGTTTGCAACGAGATCAAAACAAAATTAACGTCTATTATTGACAATAAATGACGAGAGAAATACTTTTAAAATGCTATACATATAGTAAACGGTCGATCGACAACCGGCTTGTAAATAATAGTGTATAGTGTAACGTTTTTAATGATCCATAGCTACATAGGTGTGAACATGGAACCGCGTAATTACATACAGCTACGCGTATACCTACTTTTGGGCGGTTTCCTCGACTAGCTCTCTCGTTTCTGTTGTCCATTACAAAATAATATTATGAGCTAACCGAAGCAATAGCAGCTATAATATATTTTAAATATAGATTTTGTATCACGAAACGACGCCGTTTAAAGGTATTTTAATATTTTATCTAATTTACAATGCACTATTAGTCGTCGTATTTTGATTAAAACGAAAGTGGTTTAAATAATATTAATAACAATAATATTATGTAGCCGTAGCGCCACAGACAGTAGTAGTTCCGCAACACATGTTGCACGTGTGTGTAGTGCTGACTGAATTTCGGAAGGAGTATGTTATTGGATATTATCATGATAACTATATTGACACGAAATATCTATTTCGTTACATTTTAATCATAAATTTATGATGATGTTTACTTACACAAAGATACGTATTCAAAATACTTTGGCTGTTCGTAGTCGTGTAGCAGACAGCAGTGTGGTGAAAATAACGACTTGAGATAATTTTTGAAAGACGTAAGCCTTAAAGTTATTTTGTCGATTATTCTATGCTAATATTTAATGACTTGAGGTGATCGTATAAAAATTTAATTTCAAGGATCAGTTAACATAAATAATAGTATTACTTCTTTCTGTAAATCCATATAAGAGGTATGCAACTTGTCTTGTGCATGCACACTTATTTCAAAACAAAATTGTGTACTCTACTGGAATATGATGTTTTATAAACAAGTCACTATACAGTGTGGACCAGTAGCTTATACGAGTGTAATGTATTATTATCAAAGGCGAGGAAACAGCGCAGAGAGCCGTAAACAAATTATTCATTTGTCTAGAAATTAATCAATCTATTATAGGTACATTTGTCATAGTATACACACATTATCATAATACGAAACCTATCACGTGCAGTTGCATAATTTATTTTGTAAACTGGGTTGCCGAGTCCTCGCCTATATTTACCACCGTTCAGGATTAAAATGGACGATCGAATGAGGAAATACGATCTGTATTTTGTTGAGTGGCAAAAATGACATGTCGAGGCTCTTAAGTAGGCATAAAGCACACGTTTCGTAATAATTATAAGTTGCATATACCTAGGTAATATACGCACCGATGGATTAAAATAGTAATATAAATATTTACCTTTTATACATGGACATATTTTTGTTTTTTTTTACATAAGTTTATTACAATATGTACGTCATACATTTTATAAAATATGTAAATCGTGGTTCACCACGCATCCGTGTTGGTGTTCACGTATAAACTACTTATATTTGGTCGATTCTTGTAAGTCTTGTTACAAACGTAAATTACGACGAACAACAATATCACGTATCCAATAATTAATAATGTTCGGGTTGCATATAAATCAAATAAATCATGCTCGTCAGCTGTCATCAATGTTTCCAGGTAGTCCGTGTGATTCTGCAATGGTTGAAAGTCTTCGTTATATAGTGGACTTTCGTCTAAAATTATTGACATAGAAACAACGCGACGAGTCAATAAGAACGGTATAATATTCAATACAAATATGAAAAACATTTTTCACTGGAAAATCCGTAGGCAGCAGTTATTAACACTCTTATTATTATTATTTGTTTTTAATTTTCATATACTATTATTAAGTATGTTCGCTTTTAGGGTTGCCACGGTAATATAATTA